TGGGATGATCCTAAATGTTCTTCCAACCCAAACCACTCCACGATGGTTCTGTGGGTTGTTGTGGGGATTGCTGTCCTGCCAGGCATCCTTTAGGAAGGATGACATTCTGAAACTTTGTCTTGCAAGGATATTGGAATGATCTGTCCCTCTTTTCCTGGGGGCTGGACAAAGACTTGAAGGATGATTTTATGAGTAAGAGTTCCTGGAAATGTTTAAACGCAGGAGGACGTCACTTTCTGCTGACAGGGAGAAAAAATAACCCAAACCTTTCCTATTCTGTTTGTGGGTATTTTTAATCCTGGCACTGTTGGAACTACAGTTCTGGAGTAGAATGGATCCTTCCCCCTCTTCTGTTACCAAAATCCAAGGCACCAGGGAAAGGTTTGGGGCAAACAGCTCATGCACGTGTTTAAATCACCACTGTTGGAATTGTGCTATGGACAATGGGTGACATAAAGGGACCTGCAGAAGATATTTTGAAAATTCAGATTGATTAATCAATGTAAGAGCTTTGTGTGTTTTGCTCTAAGAATGGGAATATTCACTCTTAAGGAAGGACAGAACCCTCCTTCAGGAATGTGATTTCCCCTGTAACCACATGGGGCTGGAGTTATTTCTCCTGGGGGAAGGAGATGAAGGTGGTGTGGAGCTGCGTTTGGTATTTCCCTCTAATTTTGGACTTCTTTTGAAGGGATCTCCACCAGTAACCTGAGTGATGGGATCGTGGTCATTCATGTTCCTGAGGACAAGAAGGTAGGAAATGGGGATGGTGGTTCAAGTGAGGGGCTGATGCCTCCAATATCATCCTATAACTCCTGGAGTGACACAATTCCTGGTGTTTATTCAGTGTGTAATCAGCCAGGCCTTTACATCCTTGTTATCTCAACATGACAACTTTCACTTGGAATCCCAACCTGCCAGGAACTGGTGGAGAATGAGAAGATTCCCCCTAGGCCTCCTTTTCTCCAGGCTGAGCTCCCCAGCTCCCTCAGCCCTTCCTGGTGTGGCTGATTCTCCATCTCTGTACACATTTCTGCCTTTTTTTAGACCAAATAAATCCTAAATAATCCCTGGAGAAGATGTTTAAATTGGTCACTTCTGCCCGGTAGTCATCCCAAAGGAGTTTCTCTGCACCATCAGGTGCTGGGGTGATGCCAGGTGACTTTATCCCTCTTTTTTTTGTTTCCAGGGAGATGTGATCCTGCAGTGTGAGCACATCTTTGAGACAGTGACCAAGCTCTGCATATTGGCCAACAAGCAAAGCGTGGTTAAAGTGGTGAAGGGAAGGTAAGGAAGGCAGGAAGGTGGGTGGGTAGCACTGGGCAGGTTCAATTTTATGGGAATAAAAATTTTTAATTCAATTTTTAGGCCTGGATTAGGTCAAGACTGTTGAATCACCCCAGCAGACAGTGCCCAAAACTGGGCAGGTCTAGTGCAGCAGCTCCTCTGTTTTTGTGACTTCCAGAGGCACAGGGAGATGAAATGGGATGCACTGAGAGAAAATGTATTAAAAATCATTCCAATGAGTCCTTGTACCTTGCTAGGGATGCTGCTCTGCTCTGACAGCTGCCCATGCCCCACCTGCCTAAACCCAACCTATTTCTAGGTGATTTTATTTTAAACCCACTTTTTTTTTCAGTTTTCTGGTGTGACCTGGGCGTGAGGTCGTGGCTTTAGTGGTCCCACAGGGGATCCCATTAGCCTCAGGAAAGCCAGCTGGGAAGCTGTGGGTCACATCAGGACAAATGCTCCTCTCCCAGAAGGATTGAGGAGGCCCAAAATGTGATTCCTCCTCCCAGTGCCAGCCCCGAGCTCCTGGCAGGTGGATGCAGCCCATGTCTCCAGCTTCTCTGGGAATTGGAGCTGGCAGGTGAAACCTGCACTTCTGCTCCAGCTTTTCAGCCTGGCCTTTGCATTTCAGCTCTAATTAGATTTGGTGTGCTCAGTGCTTTCCTCCAGGTCAGATCTGCTTAGCTTCCAGTGCTTAATTGCACCAAGAACACTCAAAAAGCCTGAGCTGGGCAGCCTTGTTCCATCCATCAACCCCTTGGGCTCGCTGGGATAATGCAATTGTTTAGGAAATTCACCTAAGCTGGAGGCTCTGATCTGCTCCTCTAACGAGATTTGCCCAGGGAACAGAAATAAAGGGGGTTTGGAGTAAAGCCTCTTGTGGGGAGGGCTCTCCAGGGGCTGTGGTGGTGTTCACAGGGGTCCCAGGATGAGGGAAGAGATGAGAATGTTGACTCCATGTTTCAGAAGGCTGATTTATTACTTTATGATATATATTATATTAAAATGATATATTAAAACTATACTAAAAGAATAGAAGAAAGGATTTCATCAGAAGGCTTGAAAGGAACAGAAAAGAAATGATAATAAAATCTTGTGACTGACCAGAGAGTCTGAGACAGCTGGACTGTGATTGGCCATTAATTAAAAACAACCACATGAGACCAATCACAGATTCACCTGTTGCATTCCACAGCAGCAGATAATTATTATTTACATTTCGTTTCTGAGGCCTCTCAGGAGAAAAAAATCCTAAGGAAATGATTTTTCATTAAATATGTTTGTGACAAGGGCCCTCCTGTGCTTCCAGCCTCCGGTTCCGCGTGGGCTCCGGCAAGGAGGGGACCATGGTGTTCACCGTGGGGCCAGAGCCTCAGGTCTTCAAGGACAAAACTGGACAGCTGACAGTGGTAAGGACTCAGCTGGGCCCAGGGAGGCACCTGGTGCTTCCTCCTTTGGATCTCCACCTGCAGAGAGCACAGTCCCTCCTTCCTACCAGGCAGGAGGTGACCACCCCGTCATTGTCACCTGCAGGAGGTGATCCAAGACAGGGCTGGGAGCTGCAGCTGCAGGGATTGTGCAGGAATTGGCCCCAGGGATGGGAGAACAAGGCTGGTTCCTGGTGTGGGCACTCAGAGAATTTAGTCTGACCCAAACTCAATGTGCACCAGCAAAATGAGGCCTCAGGGGATGTTTTCCACCTCCCTCAACCAAGTTGTGCCTGAAATTGGTTGGGAGATGGAGGGAAGGCACTTCTTGTCACCCAAGCAGGTCCTCTGAGGAGCTGCCAGCTCCAAGGAAGAATTTCAAGTGGAATTCTCCATCCTGCAGATGAAGGGAATTGCCTTTATGTACCAATGGGCAAATGGGAACTCCACCACCACCTCTCTTCCCACCTCGAGAATTCCTGATTTAATGGCTCCTTCCTCTTCTCCTCCCAGGTATCAACCCCAAAAAGGTCTTGATGAGAACCAGTTCCTGTTCCCTTGACTGGGGACAGAAGGGAGCCTGCAGGATGAGACCAGCCCTCACATCTCCCCTGGAATCTCTGATGCCACAGGGCTGCTGTGATTTGAGAGTTTGTTTGCATCTTTTAGGCTCTTTTTTTATAGCTTAAAATTATTCAAGTATAGATAAATAAAATCCCTGACGTTGCTGTAACGCTCCCAGCAGGAGACACTCGTTACATGGTCACAGGGACATTCATCCCCAAAGTTCCAGGGTAAAATCTCCATCTCTGAGAGGTCAGGAAGGATTAGGACAGAAGCCAAAAGGCTTTTCTAGCTGTGCTTTGACTCACTACTCAGGAGCACTGCAGGAAATGCAGAGCAGTATTAACCCAGGTCTAAAACCAAATTTTCTCAAGGCAGAGAGAATCCCAACAGCTGGGCCTCTCCCACAGGGAGGGCTGGGAGGTCATACTGACATTAATTAGGATGGAGATCTGATATTTCATCCAAAAAAATTCCTCCAGTCACACAGCCCATGAGGATATTGAGCTCCAAGCAAGTAATAAAGTGACACGCATGTAAATATGAAATATCTTCTAATTTATTGTGTTATATTAAAAAAGAAAAAAACCAAAAGTACATATTGCAAACATCAACCATACACTGAAATCCAGCTGAAGCTTGTTCTGTGCAGAAGTCTGGACAGGTGGGAATGATTGTACAGAACAGGAATTTGCTGTTGTCCATGAAACAATTCCATTCAGACTGCAAGGTTCTACCTATGCTTTGCTCTAGGGTAGGATGGGAGCTTGGAGCCTTGCCCAGGGGCTGCTCAGGGGATCCAAACCTGCCCTGGGGAAGTGCTACAGGGAGAGAGGTGGGAAGGGGACACCAGGGATGGTCCCTGTCCTGTCTTTGTGCAGCCCCACCCATGACAGGAGCTGGGAGGGGACAAAATCCCTTCCCCAGGGGGACTTTGCTCAGCTGCCCTGGGCTGTGCTGGCACTGCTGGTGCTGGGGGATGGAAGCAGCCAGCTCTGCTCTCCCTGGCACTGGGAGAGGCAGGGAAGGATAATCTGAAGAGCTGCTTTTGTGCCCAGGACACCTGCCCTGAGCCCCAGGTGCACCTGAGAGCTCAGAGTAAAACCACTTAGAGTAACGAGGCTCAGGGCTGAGAGCATTTGTGCAAGGGCATGACCAGGGTGTGGCCAGAGCAAGGACAGGGACAGCAGGGGAAGGACAGGCCCCAGGACAGCACAGCTTGGCTGCACCACTCCAGAGCCTGAGGGTGAGCTCAGGAGTGAGCTAAGACAGAGTCTGCCCACAAATGCAGCAACAAAACTGAAATGGAAACTTTAACTCTCCTGGAGTGACTTTGCTAAACCAACAGCTCTACAAAGCACTGTACAAAGATTAAAAACAGCCCTCCCCTGGTTTTTAAGAACTTAGTTTGCATATCCTGAAAGGGAAAAGCCTGAAGCCAGTTAAGGATCTATTTACAGAGAAGTTAATCACGTAGCTGTGACCTGTCAGGTGCTTGGTACTGCTGTCACTCCTGGGGCTGGAGCTGCTCTGCCCCACAGGACTGGATTTGGTCTGGGGTCTGCAGGTCAGCACAGCCAGGGATGAGTGGAGAGCAACTCCCAGCTGGAGTGAGCAGGGTTTGCTGCAGGACTGGGGCTGTCCCTGGTCCCCTCTGCTGGGACACAGCCTCCACCCCCAAGGGCTGCTGCAGATGCTGAGAAGCCCAGTGACAGCCCAGTGACAGCCCAGGAATCACCAGTAAGTGCCAAAGTACACAGTGCTGGAGAAACAGCAACCCAGGACTTCCCTGCCTCACCCTCAGCTCATCCCAGCCCCGAGGGGGGAGGCACTGGCTCCTTCCCGCTCTGCACTGCTCCAGCCCTAGAGGGTGCTGCCAACAGGTTTAGGTACAACTCAAACTGGAAGCCCTGAGGTGTCACGACAGAGCTGAAGCTGCTGAACCCCCAGGAGACTGTGGAGCTCTCAGTGAACAATCAGCAGCTGCAGGAGAAAGAGGAGAGGAGACAGGTATAAAACACCCCCACCTGCCACAGCCAGCAGCTGCCTGCAATGTGAAGTCTTTGGTTACTAGAAAGATGGCCTCAGATTAAATTGGAAATCTTTGAGCTTTACTTGATGATCCAAAACTGTACAGCCACTTCCTGGTGTGTTTCAGCCTCTACCACCGAGCTCTGTGGAACAGAAGAACGTGGCTGGTGCTGCTGCAGCACCTTTGGTGTCACACTGTTCCCATGTCCTCAGCAGCCCTGAGCCAGGAGCAGGGATCCTTGGAGCAGGAACACAGGGCTGCTGCTGCTCCAGAGGAGGGTGGCTGTTAAAGCCAGTGCTAAATATTGCAGAGAAAGGGTCAAAAGAAACTCTAGCCCAGGGCAGAGTGCTCTGGTGTCGCCCACGGGTGCTGCTGCAGTGCAAGTTTAACACTTCCTACCTCAGGTTTCTCTCCCTCCCAGGACTGGTGACCTGAACTGTCACAGCTGTGGCTCTGCTCAGCCCTATGGAATGACAGCCCACCTCCCACCACTGCTGTCACTTGACTCCACAACAGGCAACAGGAGACAAGGAGGTAGATAAAATATTCATTGAAAGAGAAAAGCACTCGTAGAAAGCCACCAGTGCAGTGGCCTTCTCCATGCTCTGCCCTTCCACACACAGCTGCCATGGCTGGGAGGGTTTGGAACAGCCTCAGGGTGAAGTCAAACAGGGAATATCTGCCTCTGGGTCACTGCCTGCTTCTGCTTCCCCTCACTCAGAGCAGGAAAATGCTCCTGGATCAGCTCCAGAAGGGAACCAGGGCTGCTGCCCCCCACCAGCACCCCCAAAACAAGGGGATTGAACCTGCTGTGACTCCTGGTACCTGGGAGCTGCTGGAAACCAACCCCCAGCTGAGATCCAGGCTCAGGCAGAAGCTCTAAGCACTGACCAGTACCAACACCACTCCTAGGGAAAGCAACCGTGGACAGTTTGCTCCTGATTCTCCTCCTTTGGGAGGAATTTTAACCTTGAACTGCAGGGATAAAACAGGGATGGGTGTCCCAAGCTCAGTGCTGCAGAAGCTCCACTGAACCCTTGGAGGAGCAGATCCCAAGAGCTGTGGGGAACCTGAGGGAGCAGCCCCTGCTCTGAGGGATCCCTCTGTCCCCAGACTCCAGGAATCTCATCAGCCTGTGCCATTTGTTCTTTGGGGAGTCTCTGCAGCAGCCCTGGGTCCAGGTCCCTGCCTTTCCCCCCAGCCCAGGAGGGTCAGGGAGTGCCTGGAGGGAAGGAGGGTGGCTGGCTGACCTTTTGTTTGTTGTTTTGCTTTTAAAGTGCAGGATCATTACCAAAAGTCACAGGAAGCCAGTCCTCCTCCTCTCCAGCACAAAACAGCAACGACAAGAGTGCTAAAAATTCTGGGCATTTCTCCAGCTGCTCAACAGGCCCTTCCAGGCTGCCCAGTAACCTCATGGATCCTCGCCCTACAACTACCGCATTTAAATACCCCAAATAACCTAGAGTTTGTTACAAATCCCAATTTACAGACTGTGCTGGACAGGAGTTGCACTGCCTGGTCCTGCTGCAGGGCAGCCCCTTCCCCAGAGCCGAGGGGGTCCCCAGGCTGGCTCACTGGTGCAGGTGGGCCCTGTCGTCGGGGCGCTTGATGTGGATCCTCCGCACGCGCTCGATGCGCTCCCGCTCCTCGTCCTCCTCCAGGTGGTGGGAGCGCCCTGCAGCCCCTCCCGTGGCCTCCAGGAGGGCATTGTCCGGCCCCCTCCCGTCCTGGGACTCGTACAGAAGAATGTTCAGGGTCTCCTCGTAAATTCGGGCTTCTGGGAACTCCACCTGGCAGGGAGGGAGGAGGAGGTCACTGACTGCATGGGCCAGGTTACCTCGGTGTGGGTTCCTGACACCCGGTGTTGCTGTTCCCTAACTGCACCCCAGCCACAGAAATCCTTTCAGGCACAATCCTTTCTATTCCATTTTTTGCTTCCGGCTTTTGAGTCCAACAAGAAGTTGGGTTTTTACCACAATCAAGCAGATCTCTCCTAGGCAAGGGAAGAATACAGGGAAGGTGTGCCATTGCTGGATCCCTCCTTACATGGGGGTGTAGAGCCAGGGAATGGTTTGGGCTGGGAGGGACCTTAAAGATCATTTACTTCCATCCCTAGGTCATCTACTTGCAACTCCCAAAACCAAATGTAGTTAAATGTACAAGTTTGTCTGAAGATAGAGCTGGACTGAACATTATGGATACCACAATGCATTATGGAATACCACAGGGCTTTATGGAATATCCCAACTGCCCAGTGCAGGCAGCTCCTGCTGCACCCCCAGGATGAGCCCCAGCTCCTACCCCACTCTCAATGCACTGATTACCCTCCAGAGGTGCTGAACAGTGACAAAGTGCCAGCCTGTTGAGCTGTCACTGTCCCAGTTTCCTGTACCTTGGTCTGCTTCTTCTCGGTGGCATAGACGATGGAGGTGCAGCAGACCTCGGCGATCTTGCGGCCCTGCCCGTAGAAGGACCAGCAGCAGATCTCATCCCCAATGACATCCTTGATGAAGAGCACCCTCCCGTTGAACCTCAGGGACAGCTTGTCAAAGAGCTCAATGTTCTTCAGCATGTTGTCATCAGAGTTGCTGTGGGAAGGGAGGCAGCAGCAGGAATTTACAGAGTGCGTGGAAAGAGTGGGAGCAGTGAGCACTGACGGCTCTGAGATCCCAGATTCCTGTGCCACAGAACTCCAGGATGGTTTGGGTTGGAGGGACCTTAAAACCCACCCTGTGACATGGGCAAGGGCACCCTCCCCTAGCCCAGGTTGCTCCAAGCCCCATCCAACCTGGCCTTGGATGCTTCCAGGGATGGGGTAAAGCAAAGAAATGAATTCTTATTATTTCACTTCAAACCATTTCTGAGCTCAGCACCCTGGATGGGCACTGTTATGTCAAGAAACTTATAAGGTAATAAGGGAAAGAGGACAAGGCCCCCAGTTTGATGATTTCACCACTCACTGAGCTCCCTGTGTTCAACTACCACACTGCCATCCATGGGAATGCAGACAGCACTTGCCCAGGAGCCTCTGCCAGCTGCACCTAAGGATTAGAGGAACTCCTCTGGCACAGAAATAGCACAGGCTCAGCCCTCCATGGATGGCAGCAGACTCCCTTCTGACTCCAGTTGGAAAATAATTGGGGAAAAATGGAGTGCCTGCCAACACCAATCTGTCATTGGGTCTGGGGGAAGAAAAAGGAAACTTTTATATAGTGGATTTTAGTCTATGAAAAACTTCCAACAGCTCCAGCTGAAGTGACTTACCTGGTGTAGGAATATTTGTTGTTGCTTCTGTTATAGAGCAGCTTCACTGCTGGCTGTAAGAAACAAAGCAGAGATGAGTTCCAGGGAGCACAGCCTGAGCTGGAACCTCAGCTCAGCCCAAGGCCCCACAGAGAAGCTGCAATAACAAATTCCCAGTGAGATTTCAGTGGTGTTACTGCTGTTGCTGCAAACCTGTGATGCACAAGTTGGCAATGGGGCTGCAATCCCTCCTGATCCCTTCTGGGACTGGATCCTCATCTATTCTTATCTTCCCTCTGTCTTACCAGGACTCCCTGCTATGTGCAGGGACACTTTTCACTATCCCAGGTTGCTCCAAGTCCTGTCCAGCCTGGCCTTGGACACTTCCAGGGATGGGGCAGCCAGAGCTACTCTGGGCACCCTGAGCCAGGGCCTCCCCACCCTCACAAGGAAGAATTTTTTCCTGATATTCCATCTAACCCTGCACTCCTTCAGCTTAAAGGCATCACCCTTATCCTGTCACCCCATCCCTTGTCCAGCACTCCAGCTCTCTTGGAGCCCCTTTAGGCACTGGAAGGAGCTCTGAGGTCTCCCCAAAGGTTTTCCTCTCCAGCTCTCCCCATGGCACATCCCAGTCTCTCTCACCTTGTTGGAGGTTGCAATCAGCTTCTGCTCCTCTTTGGAGGAGGTGATCACCGGGACCTTGCAGAAGGGTTCATAGGTGTCCTTGTTCTGTGGGAGAAGAACCAAACAACAGCTGAGTGACAGCAGCTCCCTGGCACAGCCACATTTCCTGGGAATGATTTCTGCTGAGGGATCAGTGTCCAGTCTGTCCCTGTGGTGTCCCTGGGGAGCTGTGGCTGGCCAGGGACAGCTGAGGTGTCCATTCCTGTGCTCCACCACTGAATGTCCTGTGCCCAGCTAAACAGCAGGATCTGGAATGGGGCTTCTCTCAGACAGGACATCAGTGACAGTGGCATCAAACCCAAGACAGGAACCTCAGAGCATAACAAAGAACACGACAGGACTCCAGCAGCTCTGGAAAGAAGCTGGTTCTCCTAGATGTGACCAGTCTCCAGCAGATGACAACACGAACTACTTCCATTTCCATCCCAGCCTCCAAAATCACCACATGAAGACCAGGAGAAAACCCTGCCCACCCCCAGGTGCCCCTGAGCCCCGTGCCCACCTGCAGGGCTGCCTGGCATTCATCCACCAGCCCCTGCACCAGGTAGTACTTGGCCTCAGCCAGCAGCTCCTCGATCTCGCGGCGGCTCTCCGGGAGTGGCACGGCCCCGTCCCGCAGGTAGTTCAGGATTGTCCCAAAGTGCTTCCCACAGCGGTCAATCAGGATCCAGCCTGGGGACACAGCAAGGCCACGGTGAGGAAAAGCTGAGATCAATGTGGCAAAAGGCCTTGGCAGAGCAAACTGGTGAAGGAGATGGTGGAACTGGGAGTGGGAGGATGGAATGGGGAATGTGAGCAGAGTGTGGCACAGCTGGAGCTTGGGATTGTGGTGGGAGGAGAATCATGGAAGAGTTTGGGTTGGAAGGGAACTTAACTTAAAGCCCATCCAATCCCAGGGAATATATTCACGTGTTCCTGCTGAGGAGTCTGTGAAGGGTGAGTAAAAATAACCCCTGACCCTGCCCTGACCAGAGAGAGGCACTGGGGGTGTTCAACGCTGATGGAAATCACAGAATGGTTTGGGTGGGAAGAGACCTTAAATCCACGAGCAGGGACAGCTTCCACCATCCCAGGCTGCTCCAAGCCCCATCCAACCTGGCCTTGGGCATTTCCAGGGATGGGGCAGCCACAGCTGCTCTGGGCAGCCTGAGCCAGGGCCTCAGCAATCTCACAGGGAAGAATTTCTCCTCAATACCCCATCTAACCCTGCCTCTGGCAGTGGGAAGCCATTCCCCCTTGTCTTGTCCCTCCATGCCCTTGCCCAAAGTCTCCTCCAGCTCTCCTGGAGCCCCTTTAAGCACTGCAAAGCACTCCAAGGTCTCCCTGGAGCCTTCTCCTCTCCAGAGAAGAAAAGAGCTACAACCAAAGCTGTGGCTGCAGCATCCACACTTCACCTCTCACTGCTGGGATCAGGCTGGACCCTGGAGAAGTCAGGCAGTGCCAAGGCTGGAGTTTCCCTGGGTGAACAGATGGCCACTCTCACAGGCTGAGGCTCAGGAATGCAGTGAGGAAACGCTTGTGGGGAAGGAGTCATATTTTGGACAAATAAGGAAAGTAGGTTAAAGCAGCCCCTGTGTGCTCTGCATGAATGGAATTACGAGGAAAGTCTGAACATTTGGTTCAGTCTGGAGAGTGAACACAGCCTCTGTGTTCCCTCACTCTGCAGCAGCTCACTCCAGGCTTCCCAGCTCCCTCATTCCTGCTGTCCACAGACAACACAAAGTGCTCCAAGTGTGATTTTACAGGCTGGAACAACAAACTAGAGAAAGAAATTATGGAAGAAAGGACTGGTCCAGACTAATGGCTAATCCAACTAGAGCAGAAAAAAGCCCATTTGGCAGTGCAGAGTATGGACAGCAAGAAATCCCATTTTAGTGGGAGATTTAGTGGAAGGTGTCTCTGCCCATGGCAGGGGTGGAACAAGGTGAGCTTTAAAGTCCTCTCCTATCCAAACCATTCTGGGATTCTGTGATAAAGAGGAAGCACAAGCCATGGTAATAAACCATTCCACAAATGCAGCTGCCTCCCAAGCCCACTGGAGCACACAGGAAGGTAAAGGGCCAGCTGAGAGCAGAATTATCATCCCCAAACTCCTCCGTGATTCCTCATAGGCTGCAAAAATCTGCTGCAACTTCGTGTTTACAGATGGTGAAACTGAAGCAGAGTTGCTCATTTTCATGTGGGGATGAGAAAACACTTCCAGTAGCATTGCAAAATCAGAACTACCACTAGAAGAGCTTTAAAAACCCTTCTGCTTCCCCCAAGCAGCCTAAAGGAGATGAGTCACAGGGAAGTGACCCCGGTGCCACTCGGCCACAGCAGAGCCAACAAGTGGGCTGGAGTCTTTTGGAGTAATTTCTTAATTGCAGAGCTCCAAAAACATCCTGTGATCCATTTAGGAAGGGACACAGAATCCATGGGCTGTATGGAATCATGGAATGGTTTGGGTTGGAAAGGGACCTAAAGTTTATCCGGTTCCAGCCCCCTGCCATAGGCAGGGCCACCTTCCACTGTCCCAGCCTGCTACAACTGGCCTTGAACACTTCCAGGGATGGGGCAGCCATCTGGTTACTGGGAGCTTCTCTGGGAATTCCATCCCAGCCTCTCACCAGCCTCACAGGGTGGATTTCTTCCCAATAGCCCATCTATTCCTGCCCTCTGGCAATTTGAAGCCATCCCCACTTGTCCTGCCACTCCAGGCCCTGCAAACAGTCCTTTCCCTCATTTCTGTCAGCTCCTTCCTTCTCCAGGCTGAACAATCCCAGCCTTTCCTCCCAGCAGAGCTGCTCCATCCCTCTGACCATGCTGGTGTCTCCTGTGGGCTCTCCCCAGCAGCTCCAGCTCCTCCCTGTGCTGGGGCAGCTCTGCAGGTGGGGTCTCAGAGCCCCCTCCCCTCACTGCCTTTGCCCATGGACACATCACCTTTAGAAATCCATCTTTGTCTTACAGGAATCCTCAGGGACAGGATCCCAACACTGCAGCTAAAAGCAGATATTTTCCAAGCAAACTCTGGCAGGTGAAACAGGAGCCTGACACTGGATACTGCCTTAAGTTCCACTCTCTTATCAGCAGCTGGACCAGGAACAGCTTCCCCATCAACAGCAGCAGGGAGTCAGGGAAAAAAGGAGAACTGGAAACAGGTGGATGCACCTGGAAAACTCACATCCTTCTCCCTACTCATTACCATCCAAGGAAATGTTCCAAATGTGCTGATTTGCTACAGTTCATCAATAATTTCTAAGCTGAAAACAATCATCTGCCACCCACAGGCAGAGAAGCCCAGCCTGTTCTCCTCCAGCCTGAGGAGCAGCAGGTTGGAATTGTTCAGCTGGGATCTGAATCCCAGACACAGAGCAGGACCCAAATTCCAGACTGGTTAAACCCAACTCCTTTCAGTTGCTCCTCAAGCCTGGCTCCTTTCCCTAAGAAACATTTTGTTTGGTGCCAGGTTTAGGGTGTGACCAATGAGGAGGATTTTGAAGAATTCCAGATAAAAAGTGTTTCCTTTAGCAGCCCCAGCGCTATTGTCCCAGTTTCCAGGCAAGGGGAGATAACGCAAGAACTGCTGCAATGGGAGTGTCTGTGTTACAACATACAGGAAGTATCAAATTCCTCTTAAAACACAAACTGGTTCCATGGAACAATCCCACACACACACTGTGGGAGTCACAGCAAAACAAACTTGGGGTTTTACATCCCAAACGTGGGATTTTAGTGGGAGAAATTCCAGTTATCCTCAGATTTGGGGTGCAAACAGCACTTGCAGAGCCTCTGAGCCCTGGGAATCGGATGTCCCAACCCTCCTGTACCTGCCCAGGATATTGGGATCAGGCCAGGGTGAGTTTCCAAAATGAATTTGGAATTTCCAATCCGTTTGCAAGCACAGGAAGTCTGGAATTATCAAATTCAGCCCAGCAGCTTCAGGGAGGGACAGGAAGATCCAGCCCAAGTTTAGCAAAGGGAGAATGCTCACAACATTTCCAGTGTTCCCAGTCAAGGTGTTCATTCACATTTGACAGATTTTTTCCCAAATTGGACCCAGTGTTGATTCCCATTTGACTTTTTTTCCCAAATTTGACCCACAGACTGACTTTTTCAATGCAACCTCCATGATCTGTGTCCAGGATAAGCATCCCAGAGACCCTTTGATCCAAATCACAGCATCCACATTCCTGCTTTATCCTGGCCTGGGATTACACCTGGAACAACACAGCTTTGTTTTTCCCAGCTTAAATATAAAGACTTCTGGCTAAACCAGGAATATTCAGCTAATCAGGCTCTATTTTTACATTTTTTCCCTTCAAATCCACTTCATTTTATCTTAGGAAAGCTTATCATAAATCTCTAAACAGACTGTTTTAAAGCACTCAAAACTCAGTCCATCCTGTTCTATATTTTCTCTATTTTCAGCAAATTCAAACAAAATTTTCTAATGATAATTAACTAATCCCAAGTGGGGTGTTTGAAGCTCCAGGATCAGCTTTGCAGAGGCTGCAGTTAAAGACAAAGGTTTTTAAATATTGTTATGGGTAAAACATCAGAGTGAAAATAAAGCTGAGCTTCCAGTTAAACTCTGACACACTCACAATGTGGGAATGTGGAGATAAAACTCTAAATTTTCTGAAAATTTTGCAACTGGTTCTGTTTTAGGGAAATAAGCTGTCAATAGTCCCAAAAGAAAGTTGTTTTATTTTAAAAAATCAGCTTTTAACTAATTTATACCTATGTTCAGAGCTTGTTTTATATTGTATTTAAAAACAAGGAGACAAGAAGAGGGAATGGCATCCTGAGCTTCCAAGAGGACACACAAATCCCAGCTCAAAGATCCCTAATCACTATCCCCATCTTTTTCCATGGGCTTCAGAGCTTTAATGTCAGTGTTCTGAAAGGAAAAGATTCTCCAGGTGTCACCTGGGCCTGACAGGAGCTCTGGCACTTCTTAGTGCTCTTCTGCTGTTCAGGCAACCACTCAGGCCATCCTTGTCTTTTGTTCCACATTTTTCCCAGCTGTATAATCATGGAATCATGGAACAACAGCATGGGTTGGGTGGGGAGATTGAAGATTATTTAGTCCTTGAAGATTATTTAGTGCACTCCTTGCCATGGGCAGGGACACCTCCCACTAGCCCAGGTTGCTCCAAGCCCTGTCCAACCTGGCCTGGGACACTTCCAGGGATGAGGCAGCCAAAGCTTCTTTGGGCAGCCTGTGCCAAGGCCTCCCCACCCTCACAGGGAAAGATTTCACTCCAAAATCTAATCCAAACCTATTCTCTTGTCCTGCCACTCCAGAGCAGGACAAGAGAATGGGTTTGGATTAGATATTGGGATGAAATCTTTAAATATTATATGAATATCTTATAAATATATAAATATCTTATAATATTATATAAATATCTTATAAATATTCTCTCTGTGGTTCTTGTGGCTCCTTCAAGCACTGGAAGGCCACAATTAGGTCACCCCAAACCTGCCTTTTGTCCAGGCTGAACAATCCCAACCCTCCCTTGCAGGAGACATCCTCCATCCTTCCATCCCTACAAACAGAAGTTCCTGTGACTTTCCCTGCCCAGGAAAGACATGGAGAGCACCAGGAACATCCTAATCCTCACTTCACCCTACCAACAGAAGTTCCTCTGACCTTCCCATGACTGCTGTGACTTTCCCTGCCCAGAAGGGACGTGGAGAGCACCAGGAACACCCCAATCCTTACCTTCACTCTACAAACAAAAGTTCCTCTGACCTTCCCATGACTGCTGTGACTTTCCCTGCCCAAGAAGGACGTGGAGAGCACCAGGAACACCCCAATCCTCACCTTCACTGTCCGTGAGCACCTCCATGCGCCCGCTGAACATGGCCTTGAGCATGGTGTCCTGCTTGGTCAGGGTCTGCATGGTGGTGTAGTACAGGGCTCCCCCCACGTTCAGCTTCACGTACTTGGAGCTGGGGCTGCTCCCCTTGAAGGACGTCGTGCGCGTCGCGGCCGCCGGCACTGCTGAGCTCACCACGCTCTCTCCCGACATCTCTTCCTGCAAGGAACGGGGTCACCAGCTCAAGAGTGCAATTCCCAGCTCAAGAGTGCAATTCCCAGCTCAAGGGAGCAGTTCCCAGCTCAAGAAAGGACCTCCCAACTCAAGGGAGGAGGTCTCACTTCAAGGGTGCAATTTCCAGATCAAGAGAGCAGCTCCCAACCCAAAAAAAGACTTTCCAGTTCAAGGAAAGACTTCCAAGCTCAAGGAAAGGCTTCCAAGCTCAAGAGTGCAATTTTCAGCTCAAGGGAGCAGTTTCCAGCTCAAGGAAGGACTTCCCAGCTCAAAGGAAAGACTTTCCAGCTCAAGGAAGGACTTTCCAGCTCAAGGAAGGACTTCCCACTTTAAGAGTGCGATTTCCAGCTCAAAGGAAGGACTTCCCAGCTCAAGGAAAGACTTTCCAGTTGAAGGAAGGACTTCCCAGCTCAAGGAAAGAGGTCTCACTTCAAGAGTGCAATTTCCAGCTCAAGGGAGCAGTTCCCAGCTCAAAGAAGGACTTTCCACGTCAAGGAAGGAGCTCCCAGCTCAAGGAAGGAATTCCCAGCTCAAGAAAGGATTTCCCAGCTCAAGGAAGGAGGTCCCACTTCAAGAGTGCAATTTCCAGTTCAAGGAAGGACTTCCCAGCTCAAGGGAGCAGCTCCCAGCTCAAGGAAAGACTTTCCAGTTCAAGAAAGACTTTCCAGTTCAAGAAAAGACTTTCAAGCTCAAGGAAAGACTTCCAAGCTCAAGAGTGCAATTTCCAGCTCAAGAGTGCAGTTCCCAGCTCAAGGAAGGACCTCCCAGCTCAGACGAACAATCCCCCACCCTGGCAGGGTGACACTCCCGTTCCCACCGGGTATTTCACACCTCGGCTCCTCCCCTGGCTCTCCCTGTGAACTTCTCAAGTGTTTTAAATGTTTCAGGAGCTGAAGGACACTCGTGGGCACAGCCCCCGTTTTTTTCCCGGGGAAAAGCCCTGGGAATGCTGAGCTGGGTTTGGCACTGCAAAGCCAATGCTTTCCCACAACAACTGCTTTCATTTCTTACACAACTCCACGGCTTAAAGCTCTTACTCCATCCATAATCTGGGATGGAATTGGGCAATTCCCAACACACACAAGTGGAGCAGATGATTCCTGCGAGTCCCAATGCAGAAATCAACAGATTACCCAGTACTAAAATGCAGAATATCCACAGGTTTTCAAGGCTTTTTCCCTCGGAGCAAACAGGGAGAGCACACAGGAGCTTTTCCTGCTCTTCCCAGCCCTCCCAGCCTGCTCAGAGCACCAAAATGCAGCCGGACAGAGCTGGATTCCTGTCACCGAGGTCACACTGGCACAGGAGGCTCAGCGCCACAAATGCCCCCAGAGCCGATAAATCCTTAATCACTTGGAGCCTCCTTCCCTCAGGATGGGACAGGGTGGGATAATCAACCCCTTCCATCCCTGCTCCTGCAGCTCCCACGGCTCCGGGATGAGCCGAGCCCAAGGATTTTTGTTTTACCACCATGAAACTCCCAAAGGAGCCGGAGCTGTGCGGCACGGCAGAGGGAGGAGGGGCAGGGATGGCCTGGAGGTGATCCCATCATCTCCGGGATGCACCGGCAGCAACCTCAGCTCCCTCCGGTACCGGAACAGCCCAGGAATGGGCTCGGGGTTCCAGAGGGGATGGATCCCATCGCTGAGAGACCCCAAATCGCAGCCCTGCCGTCCCCAAACCACGCAAACCGGACCGTGACCGTGGCTCAGACTCCCCCCGGGACCCTCTCTCCAGCCTCGGGGCTGCCCCTCAACACCCGCACCGCTCTGTGGGGCCGGACCCCCAAATCTTAATCCCGACCCCCAAATCCTCATCAGTACCCCCGAATCCTCATCCCGACCCCCAAATCCTCATCCGGATCCCCGAATCCTCATCGGGACCCCCAAATCCTCATCCCGACCCCTCCCCAGGGCAGCGACCCCCGCACGCACCCCCGGCCAGGACCGCTACCCGCAACCCCCGGCCCCTCCGCCTCTCTGAGCCCCCTCCCATGGCCCAAACCCCCCTGAGCCCCCCGACCCTGAGCCCCTTAACCCTCCATGAGAGCCGGAGCCCCCTCAGCTCCCCCTGCCCCGCCGAGGCCCGGAGCCCCTCACTCCCCATTCCCCCATCCCCCACCAGCCCCTGACCCCTTCAGCCGCTCCTCCCCCGCGAGGCCCAGAGCCCATCCCGGCCCTGCGGGCGCGTCCCCCGGGCCCCGCGCCGCCCTTTCCCCCTCACCATGAACGGACCGAGCCCCTCGGACCGAGCGAGCGGGAGCGCCGGGCGGGGGAACTTCCGCCCCTCGCTTCGCTTCCGGCGCCGCCCGGGTGCGCCCCCAAACCCGTCCGATGGCCCCCCCCAGCCGCTGCCGCGCTGCGCTGCCGCCTCGCGGGCTTGGCCCGGTTCGGTTTGCCCCGGCTCGGTTCGACCTTCCCGGTATCACCGGGACGCAGAGCCGGCTGTTCTCCCTGCGCCGAGCCGGTGAGCGGGCCGGCGGAACGGCAGCGGCGGGGCGGGTTGGCGGCCGGACGGGGAGCGCGGACACGGGGGCGAGGAGGGGGCTGCGGCCGCGGCCTGGGCGGGGGAACCGGGACGGACCGGGGGGTTCCGGGGCCGCTCGGCCCGGCCCGCCCGGCCCGGTGTCCGCCGGGACGAGGGTGAGCGCCTGGGGGCTGCGGGGAGGCTGCCGGAGCGGCGGAGCCCGGCGGGGCGAGCCTGGGCCCGGGGAGGCTGCGGTGCGAACGGGGGATGCGGGAGGGATGCGGGCGCTGCCACAGGGGCTGAGGGGGCTCTGGGGCTGCGCCGTGGGCGAGTCCCGGGAGCTGCAACTCCGCTCGGGGGCTGTGGGTGGCTCTGCTCGGGGGTGGCACCTGCTCCGGTCCCCGGCGGCCCGGGTGGCTTTGTCCTTCCTTGCTGTCACACACGGAGTTATCTGTCCCTGTCCCCCACAGCTGCCTGTGCTGGTGACCGGAGCCGAGGCGCGGTGCTGCTCCTCCTCCCACTTACCGTCTTCCTTGCGGGTGCAGGGAGGGGTAAATCGGGTCCAAAGGACTCGGGAGTGCGGAGGGAAAGTCCAAATCCCCCAGATCAGCCGCAAGGAATGTGCTTGTCCATGCAGGAGCTGCCCGAAGCCTGGATGGGGATCATGTGCGTGTGTGAATGAGCATCACACGCTTCCCTTGAAGAAGTGACCCCTCAGGTGAGCTCTTTGTCGCTGTTTATTAAGCTCTGGTTGGCCCTGGGTGTTTTATCTGATGAGTGGCAATAAATCAGAGTCCCTTGTGCCCTTTGCCTCCTGTCCCTGGCCGGGGAGTTGTTCTTATCTGTTACCAAGGAAAGAACAGAGGCTGGAGAGGGGAGGTGGAGCACAGTGTCAAAACCACTGCTTTGTTTATTTTTCCACTTAAAACCTCCCAGCCTGCAGCAGGCTGTGGGCTGTGCTGGAAGGATTCCCTGCCAGTGTTTTTGTGTCCCTGCTGCAGCCCCGTGACAGCCACTGGGCTTTTTTTCATCCCACTTTTCCCTCTGCTGTCGGATTCTCCCTTCCCCTGCAGGGAGCTGAGAACCACCTTTCTGTGAGTGTTTTTTCCCACTCTGCTGTGTTTTCCCAGGTGTTTGCTGTGAGGATCTTTGCTCCCTTTGCCATGTTCAGTGCCAGCCAATCCTCCAAGGCGCAGTTCCTGGACAAGGCGCGGCAGGCGCGCGAGGAGCGGCGGGAGCTCAAGGAGAGGGAGAGAGCAGCAGTGCAGCTCCAGGCCCTGGTCAGGAGGTTCCTGTGTCGCTGCCACCTGCAGAGGGACATCAGGTGTGTGGGATTCGTGGCATCATGCAATGGGTTGGCTTGGAAGGGTCCTTAAAGCTCATCTCATTCCAAACCCCTCGCTGGAGGCCAGCTTGCTCCAGCCTTGCCTTGGATATTTCCAGGGGCGAGGCAGCCACAGCTTCTTCCACTCTCACAGGGAAGGATTTCTTCCCAATGTCTAACCCTATGCTGTTTTAATTTGAGTCCATTCCTCTTTTTCCTGTCATTCCAGACCTTTGTGAAAATTCTCTCTCCATCCTCCTCATGAGCCCCTTCTTTGCTCTGTGATTGTTTTTTTTAACTCCTCGTTTTTCCCTCTTTGCTAGGAGAGAGGTGGATGATTTCTTTGGGACAAATGAATGTGGCTCAAGTAAAAGAAGTGCCCTGTCTGTGTTCAGGATTGCCAGGAAGCTGCTGTTTGTGTTCAATGCCAAGGAGGACAAGGAGGTGAGGACACTGCCCTGACATCCTGCCATGCTTTTGGGACAGTTTAAACATATTTAATTCCTTACCCAGTGATCTTGAGGGCTCTTGCAATATATTTTCCCTTCAACAATGTTCTCTCTGACTCCTGGCCCTTCCTGAAGGATTGAAACAGGAGAAGCTTTGAATTTTTCAGCAGTGGTTCTGAATTTGGGACATCCTTTAATGGATGTTTTTCCTGGTGACTGTGCCAGCTGCAGGAGCAGTGCCTGGGGATTTTGGCACACTCCAGGTACATTGGGACAGCTCCCAGAGATCTGTGCTGGCACAGGGAAGGCTGTTTGTCCCCCATCAGCTTTTCTCACCATGCCCTGAACTTGTGGGTTCAGAGTGAAGCCCTGAAATGATGATTACAGGAGGCTGTGAGGGCTGACTGGGGGGAAACCAGCTGCAAGATGGAAAGTGTTCCAGTGGCAGCAGCAGTGAGGGATTTGTTAATCTCTATCCCATGGAAATCTGTGCTCAAATGCAGTTTTCTGTAGGTACAGCACCCAAAAAAGCCCCAAGAAATGAGGGAATCCTGCATAGCAGCAGCAGCAGTGTGATGTGTGTGCTCCCAGGGAAGGAGCCATCAGAATTCCTGTAGAGAATGTTCTGGGAACATTTGCTGATTGAGACAGAGAGATCTTCCTCCCTCTGCTGAGCTGTTCTTGTGCTTTTCAGCCCTTCCTGTAGTTAGAACTAATCCCACCTTTGGATTTTCCAGAGGTTTGAAAAGCTGTGCCGTTGTATCCTGACCAGCATGGATGTGGAGAACGAGCCCAAGGTCAGCAGGGGGGGTTGGTTTGGAGTGGGGAGGGCTTGGTGGTCGTTTTCAACACTCTCTGTGGGGATTCACTTTGCTAATGTGTAATTTTAAGCTTTCAGAAGCCCTTGAGCACTGTGGAGATTCCACAGGGAAAGCCTGGACAGGTCCTTTAGTGTTCCTGGGATATTTTTATTCTGTGCAGCCACAGGAGTTGAAGGACACTTGGTTTCTGGGGTGGGTGATGTGGGAATTTGGGCAGAGGAGCATCTTGGTCCCATTGCTGGGTTCAGTCCCCAAACTCTGCCCAGCAGCAGCACAAACCCTGATCCCTCTGTGCATCCCCCCTTGCTCAGGTGTGGTACGTGTCACTGGCACTCTCCAAGGACCTCACACTCCTCTGGATCAAGCAGATCAAAGACATCCTGTGGTTTTGCTGTGAATTCCTCAAGCAGCTCAAGGTGAGGATTATTCTTGTGTTTTCTCTGCCTGCATTTGGCACAAGGCTCAGTGGATTTGTTAACTCTGCTGTTTGTTATCCCAGCCTGACATCCTGCAGGACTCCAGGCTGGTGAACTTGCACCTCACAATGCTGGTCACCTTCACAGACACTTCCACCTGGAAAATCCTCCGGGGAAAAGGTTGGTGCATCCAAATCTTTAAGATTTGGGACTTGGTGTTAAAATCTGCTGAATGCTCTGGCACAAGTTCCAGAGAAGCTGTGGCTGCTCCATCCCTGGAAGTGTCCCAGCCCAGGTTGGAGAGGGTTTGGAACAACCTGGGACAGTGGGAGGTGTCCTGCCCTTGGCAGGGGTTTGGGGTGGGATGATTCTTAACATTCCTTCCAGCCCAAACTGTTCTGGGATTCTGTTTCTGCAGAAAAGCACCAGTTACCACAAAGATTCATTGGTTACCACAAACATTCATTCTGCTCTTGTGGTTGCAGCAAAACAAGGATTCCCTTGGGATTAATCTGGTTCCCCTTGGGATTAGGCTGTTTCCCTTAGGACACCAACAGCTGTTACAGCATTTTATAATATTCCAGAAACCCCCACACAAGAAGTGTTCAGAGGATAAGGGAGTGTGCTCTTAGCTCTGGGGTTTTGTGGGAGATAGGTGTAGAAAAGGCAGACAGGTAGTGGGAGGAAATGAGACTCAATACAATGTGAAATGCTGCCAGAATGATGGGTTTGTGTAGAAGGACAAGGACTTTGTGCCAGGAGAGCTTGGGCAGTGACAAACCTTCCTGTGGGAGTGACATCAGTGCTTTAACCCAAAGGTGAGACCCTGAGACCTGCCATGAACCACATCTGTGCCAACATCATGGGCCACCTGAACCAGAAGGGCTTCTACTCCGTGCTGCAGGTCAGTCTGAGCTGCCACAGCCCCAGCTGCACCCAAACCAGCCCCAGCCCTGCCTGTGCCCCTCTCCTGATGGGTCTGTGCTGGGGTCTCAGGGATGAGCTGCTGGTGATTTGTGCATGATTATGTTTTTCTCAAGCAAAGCAAAAATCCCTCAAGTTTCTCTAGTAAAGCAGAGTGTCCCCACCTGAGACCAAATCCACCCTTCCCCTTCTATCACTGCTGCTGAACCTAAATCCTGCTCAATCACCTCATCAGGAGATGGACAGGGACAAGTCCTACATAATTTTGCCAAACTTTGCAGCTGGCACATTGCATTGGTTGGGTTTGTTTGCTGCTCTGCTGGGAAAAGGAACGGATGTAATGAATCTTTTAAATAAGAATTACATTACCAAACTCTGAGCCTTGCCTGTTAATTTTTAAAACCTGTGAGCACAGGTTCTAGGGAAATAAGTCCTGCAGAGTGTCTGATTTCATTGCATTATCTCTCTTCTGCCATTATTAACCTGAAGCCCTTCTAATTCTGCCAAACAACTTGTAAGAACTGGATTTTATGCCACTCTGATATTCTTTTTCTCTGCATTAAATAACCTTAATGTCTTTCAGGACTAATAATTTTTTTTTTTCTGAGCACTACAGGGTTTTTATACTTTGATATATTTTTTCCATTCCAGATTTTGCTAACTAATGGCTTGGCAAGATCCAGACCTTCCCTGTCCAAAGGTTCCTTAACTGCCATCTTCTCCCTCGCCTTGCGGTGAGTCAGCTGGAGCTGCCAGGGGGGATTTGCAGCCAAACTTGTCTTTTTTTAGTGGGGTTTTTATAAAAAGACTTCTCATTCTTTCAGTGGTTTTGTGCCATTGAGAATATCACCCTGAGGAAAGAAGTTGCTTTAGGCAAATGGCTCACTTTGCTGTC